GGAATGGTTAGGGAATAATTTTGCACGAATTGTTTTAATTATCAGTATACAAGTACTATCATGTATGTGGTAGAATACAATATTTATTTATTGCGCTATCGTACACAAACATGACAATTTATATTTCATTAAAAAAGTTTATCTCTCAGAAAAATCAACTTACATGAATCACGTTTCAGCGCACTTAACGACATCTATTGTAAAAAAATCAACTTACATGAATCACATTTAAGCGCACCTAGCGATATCTATTGTAAAAAAATGCATTTTCTTCGCAATAAAGCTGCCACGTGGACGTCCTAGATAGAGACTTAATAATTATAATACGGTAAAATAAAATATTACTATGTTTCGTCCAATATATTGAAAGTCAACAACCTTTCTAATTTTATTGTGTGTCATGATGCGATCAGCCCACGTGTTTAACCTGACACGAGTATAACATTTTATTTAACCCATACAAAAAAAAAAGTGTACAACGCCGCTAAAGAAGTTTTCACTTCAAAAATATATTATCAACAATAATTTTGACAGTTTATAACTATGATCAAACACAATAAAAAAAAGTTTTGTTTTTAATAATATATTGACCATTATGTAATTATATTGCAATGATCATGAACTTCAGAAAAGTACCTACGATATCGCTTTTAATCACCATTAAGACGTTTTCGTACTGACAAAATTATAATAAAAAAGCACGCATTCACCAGTTTGTGCAATTTACTCGAAGGAGATTTTCGTCCTAAAACTTTTTATACTGCTACCATAAATCAAAAAAAACATTGTTTCACGGCACGTAATGTCTATACAATTTTCGCGATACAATCTGACAAATAGGTCATTAACTACAACACCGTAGGAAAATCGACCTAAAATAAACAAAATACAAAGGTACTCACGTCACATTCTGCCAAAAGGTGTCTCCAGCAAGAAGATTTATCCGCCAATCAAATATTCAGGAAGTCCTAGCTACTCGTGCTACTGTGTCATGAAACTATAGAGGTAAGTACTTAATAATAACTTTATGTAAATCTATTTGTTTCTTAGGTTTTCACGCACATTACTCATTAAATAAAACTAGTTTTTCACTGGTTAATGCACGAAACTTTATTTATTTATTGACGTTTCGCAGCCTTTACAGGATGCGTCGTCGGAATCATTTTTTTATTTAATTTGTCGAGCTACCTTCGAAAGACTTTTATTGAGTTATTTCATTGTTCGATTTTTAAAGTTTTATTGTCTATGTATGAATTTATTACTTAATTTAGTTAATAAAGTACTTTATTTAAAAAAAAAGTTTTTGTAATTTTGAATTTATTTATTTGACCCTAACTAGCGTAAACTACCACCGGTTCCAAAATTGGGAGACCTTTCTGAGAAGAATATATAAAGTTTGCATTAACCCGTGAAAAACTAGTTTTATTTATGTAAATCGTTATCATGTATGCAATTTGGTACAAACAGGAGCACGATTAAAAGTGGAAAATGAAAAATAAAATAGTAGATACTTTAGAGGACAAAACAGATGAAAAAAAAATTAAATAGACCTGACCTGACTAATTGAAAGAAAAGAGGTAATACATATCGCAAGTCACTTCATACAAAAGGTATAAACTTAGCTCTGGACACTGCAAACTCAAGAAAAGCCAATTTTATATTTAACTAGAAAAAAATCAACGAGGACCAGGCAGCAGACGGGACTCGAACCCGCACCCTTCGCTATCCGGGTGAATGCACTGACCAATTATGCTACCGCGGACCTGATGGCCGCGTCGAAATTCCTCTAGCCATTCTTAAGCTGCAATAACTGTAGTAATTATATGGTATCGCGGACTTTTTTGTAGATGTTGGAATCCTCTATAAAACTTTAGTACATCACTTTGCTCTATTGTCAATGACTTCCGCAACGTACGCGATATAAGGCTATTTTTATGTATGTTTTACACACGTTAGGTTACATTATCGAAGTTTCATACGGAACCCTAACTTTTTTGAAAATACACTATAGCCTATATTAATCAGTGATAATGTAGCATTCAAATGGTCAAAGAATTTTTAAAATCGTTACAAACATACTTACATACAAACTTTTTCTCTTTATAATATTAGTATAGATTAAGTGACACTGATGATATGCAGATCCTTTTTATGTGAACATACTTTTTATGTAACAGACACCAAAACACTTTTTATGTGAATGTGGGCCTCTTAACCGCAAACGTAGCATCTATCTGGAACGGCATATATTATACCTAGAGGAAATCAAATCTCTAATATCTAGAAATGTTTTGAGGTTCATGGAAGATGTAGAGATCCTTTATCTTTGTGGCGAGTCACACTAGACCTTTCGCAATAGATCACAGTGACTACAGTTCTACTGGGACTGCATAGACCCAAAAATATGAAATAATAATAACACTAGGTTGGTTTAGTTAATTTGCCAGTATACAGAAAAAATAATGATATTGAAAAATGTGGTTCGGGAAGTATGAAAACAAAGAAAATAAAAAACACAGCTCGTTTATTTAAAATCCACGTTAAAAGTTACAGTATCACAAATACATTGCTTTGTTTGTACATAGTATTTTTGTTAACATCTTTGAATAAAAATAGATGTTTAAACGATCCATAATTAGTACCTAGTTATATTACAAAAATGACTTAACAAAATTCCTTATTTTTATTAAATTATCACACTTTACCCTTAATGATAATATTGCATTTAGCACCGTAAGAGGATGATATTCATGATATGATTAGATTTATATCACTATTAATTACATCACAGTTTATAAGAAAACAAAATCCCTTACCACGTTTTTCCTGTATATGTTTGCGATTATGTCAAAATCTAATGGACGGATTTTTATGCGTTTTTTTCATGATGGAGACAGGAGAAAAAGTTACATCTCTAAGAGTCCGAGCCGTGTCGATAACGAGTCGCTAATGAGGTAGACAAGTAATTAAAAACGGATACTACCTAATTCATCTTCCACACCTGCAACGGAGTTTTGGTATTAAATGCGGCTAATATAAGCATTCGAAATTGAAATTAGTTCTAACCAATAATGTTTTATGTTCTACCGTAACGAATTGTCGAGTTGCGGGACGATAGGCGCTAGACGATAGTTTCTGGCAGTTTTTGACACGCATAAAAGATGTTGCGGGAAACGTAAAATTTGTATATGCAGCTGAAAGTGCGTACTTACGTTATATTAGAATTAACTCCAATTTTTAACGCTAATTATATTGTATTTAGCATCAAAGCTTTTTTCTATTCGTCGCGCAGCTGCGCGTAGGTGTGGAAGAACCATCAGATAGACATTACAATTAACGATGTCGCGTCATTGCTGATACCATTTTCTTCTTGTAAAATCATTAAAATAAGCAAGGAAGTTCTATGCAGTACTCTTAGCACGAACCATTTGCGGGTGCGAAATGTCATTGTCAAAGTATTGATTTTTAGTTTTCGTTACGTTTGTTGTGGTGCTGCTGTTCAAGTTTCCATACAAAATTTCACAATGACATTTCGGACTCGCAAACTATTCGAATTCGATATTGGTTCGTGCTAGTTAGAATACGGGTGTATTCCGAAATATACATCAGTATACGTCGTATTTAGATAACACTACACACACGAATTCGACGCCATATTGTACTGGTATGCTACCATATTTTTACCGGGAAAACGAATATGACGTATAACCGAGCGTGCGTGAGATGCATTCGAATTTTATTTATTTTTTATTTAAAGAACAATAATGGCATCCGAATAAAAAGAATTCCTTTTAATTGATGAAGTGAATAAAAAGTCTTCTTTATTCGCACTATTTTTAATATTTCGTCGATTTATGACATCAGTGCACTGGCCAGTATATTTCGGAACAATTCACCAGTATAGCGTCGATTCATGACGCCATTAGCACTGGCCAGTATACTGTAATATGTTAGAGATTACACCCATTGTTAATTCTTGACGTATGATGACCGTTACATTCATTTGACATCTATGAGAGACAACAAAAATTCATTTATTTACAGTTACTTTATTGAAAAAGACTGTTTTTTGCTTTCCCTGGCACACTAAATGTCTTTGTATGTAATTATTTGTAATAATAAATATAGTTTAACGAACAAATTAGACTTTCAATGTATGATGACATATAATAAGGTAAATACCGTAAGTTAATAACTATTGGTTAAAACCTTAGGAACCTCAAAATATATTTGTCTAATGAAACAATTATATATTTAATGAATGGAAAAAGTAAATACATTATAAAATTGAAAGAATTTGTAATCTCTGGAAGATTTTTGTTTGTAAACGTAATGGTTTACGTGAATGTTAATTACTCTTAAACAAGGAACTAGTTCATGAGGTATCAATCAAGATTATGCAACCTAAAGGTCGAGTGAAAATTACGTGAGACTTTTCGAACACAAAATTAATTTTTCGTCCGCTTATTGTTTGTTACTACAGAAAATATTAACCTAACGGCCGAAGTTGATGTTAAGTGACATTAAAATTTCAACTTTGTTTAGAAGTATGCGCTTTGGTCCCGTAGTTAAAGTATTCATATTCTATTAAGCGAATATTAATTTAATTTTTCTTCAATTATGTTTTTAATTCGTAACTAAGCCACGGATAATTTTACTACGAAAATTAAAACTTTCTATCACAATGTTTCTTTGTCAAGTTTCAAATCACCTTCAATTTATATTGTAAACTGAGCTGACTATTTGATGCGTAAGTATTTTTGACTGGCGTTTAATTATTGTTTCAAATTTATTGGTTTTCTTACGTAGAATTTGACCACAAAATCTAAACGCACAAAATATATAGAACATCTTTACAGAAACAAGAATTTTATACCAAAGCAAAAAAACGACTTCCGTATTTCTAATCTCGTATAAAGAATAAAAAATTAAACTCTTATTCTTATATCTACATACATATTTTAAGACAGTTAAGATATAACACTATGATTAAGAATATTATCTTTAATATCTAAATATGAAATCTTCCTTAGAACTTCGTCAGTTCTGGGGTAGCTAAGCATGTCGTTGTCTTTTTGTCAAATAACTTTCATAAAAAATCTTCTTGAAGATTGTGATTGTAATTAAACTTATTGCTTTACGAGATACCCCAATTTTTGCATATCCTTATCGAAACTTTCGTTTCTGTATTTTTTAATTTTGTTTAACCAAGTGCCGTAATCTGCGAAGTATTTGCAAGTGCCGCCATATCTCTCGGGGAGGCACTCCAAGTCTATATGTTTCTGTAATGATTTGAGATCGTAGCCGTGGAAGTGGATTTTGTCCCAAGCATTGCGCGGTATGAACTTCTTGAAGATGTAGAAGAATGTGTTGAGGATCCAGGAGTAGTTGATGATGTGGCACGATTTCAGGCAACATGGAAACGCCACCTGTAGTGTTGGAATTGTTAATGAGTTTTTCTTTTTTAGTTTATTATGCCTCAATGGATTCTGCTTACACTTGGACTTTATGAGGTTTTAGGGACAGGTAATTCACATTTTTATCCAAGCAAAGTGTTATCTAAATTAAGAGATTAAAATTTCGTAGACGGAAAACCACACAATTGTGACGGGAATTTTACATAAGATGACGAAAGCATAATCTCCTAGTCTAGTCGATCCGCAGCGCGAAATTTCATCAGAACGGCATAACGTGAGAAAACTAAAAATTACTTTGGGTGCCAATCATTAGTATGCTAGCGCATATAAGGTCACTTACGAGCTTACGCTGAACCCACTGCAATGCAACAATTACTTTCCTTTCCCGATTTTCCGTATTTTTTTCTAACTAAACTAAATCAGTGATTATGACCGAGCTAATATAAAACGGGGGGAATGAAACATTGCATCAACTTTAGGAAAGCAGCTCCATCAGAGTGCGTGATAAGCGCGTTCGGTCGGCAAATATGAAAGTTAAGCAACTTTTGCAATGCCCTGTCCTATTAGAATGAGTTACCAAAAATATGTCATCTCGAACTCCTTCCTGCTTTTTTTCTTATTCCATCGATAAGGAAGGCCTGAGTCCCGGTATTGGAAACATTAATGGGCCAATGTTGGATTCGACTTCAGAATATTAATCAACAAATAATAAATTTAAATTTATGTATTTATTATTAATTTTTTGTTTACCCATCCCCAGATCATGCATTCAGAAAATTTCTTAACTTTCACGTTAGCAGAATGAACGCGTGAACTACTGCACTGACGATTAAGAATAATGTGCTTAGTTTTTCGTAAGAATATTTTCCGATACTGACCCCCATCAGGGTTACGATCTGGTAAGCCACAGTAGGCGTGAGCGTGGCCACATGTCGTAGAGTGAGCCCTTCCAGGTCTACTATTACCGTCCCGCCGATGACCTGCAGCTTAGGCTGCCGGAGACCGATCTCCGTCATTAGCATGCCGGCGCGCACAAGGTCTTCCACAGGGTACTCACTTGTATCCCACATACCTAGAATAGAAAATAAACTCTAAAACTTGTACTATCACTGTAAATATAAGGTCTGTGTCTATTGCTAATGATTTATTGCTTGTTATTTGTTTCTCTTTAATAGATTTAATAGTAATCTTTTAATTTAGGATATTGTGAAAATTCACAATCTATGTATACCATAAATATTTTTTACTTATATTGAAATCAGTACAATATTTTATGGGTATAGATCACAATAAGAAGTTTTTAAAGACCCTGCTTATTTTTGGTCCCGACTTCTTATCTTTGGAAATGAATTAAAAGATTTATTATACTTATTTACGTCCTGTAGACCTTCTCTACAAATAAAAGAACCACACAGGGGTAATAAATAACAAACTACATAGAGCTTACTATCCTTAGTACCAAATCCTTACCAAATCTGAAGATAGACAGTCTGCCGATGTCTGGACGGTCGTACATGGTTCCCTCGTACGCGTTGCTGACTTTCGCCAGTGCCCACATGTCCACATCCTGGTAGAGGTAAGGATATTGCTCTCTGAACGTGCAATATCGAACTAGCTGGGGATATAGTAAAAATTGCTACGTTATTTTCCAATAGTTACCACTTCAAGCGGATTCTCGACCCAAGTTGGAGCGCCTGTCTGGGAAAGAAACCTCTACCTTAACGTTCGCAACCTCCCCCATCCAGGGTGGATGGGGGAGGTTGCGAACACTCCCCCGAGAAGGGCTCCCCTGGAGGAAGCAGGTGAACAAAGGCTGCGGGTCCTCAGATGCGATACTCGATCCTGAGGCCCTGTACAATGCCTGATGGCGGCCATCGCTGGGGTTTTAGTGGGTAGGCCTCCCCCTTCTGGGGAGGAGAGCCCCACATAACCACCATGTGGTATGCAATTTAATGCATTTCCCCAGCGTATCAAAAAAAATAAAAAGGGGTTCCACGGGGCAATGAATGTGGTCAGGGTTGGAAAAGTCATGAGTTATAGTTTCGATATCGCAAGCGCCTATAAGCGACTATGGCGGCCGCTAGAGAGCAGGTGGGCCATAACATCGTCTGCCCCACTTTTAAATAAAAAAGTAAAGGGGAAACAAATATTAGCAAGGCATAAAAATGTGACAGGTATTGTATTTATTTTCAGAAGTATTTATTTGATTATAGGTTTGTCGATGATATCAACATTAAGGTTTCCTAACATTGCTTTGCTTTCTAGAGATCTCTATGCATTCTTTCATCATACAAATGTATGCGATTTTGTTTCAACTAGCTTTCCATCCAAACCAAAGCATTATCTACCATTTAGCCTTTCTAATTTATTTAGTAGCAGAACATGTTATACGAAATTAAATCACTGATTCATATCTAGATTATTAAATTGCAATCGTATTCTGTCTAGAATTAGAATCAAGGCTATTTTTTGCAAAGTTAATACATGCAAGAGTTGTTGTTGTTTTTTTACCAAAACAGCTTAATTCCTCTTTGAGAATCTTATGAAAAGTGATGAATGCATATATAATGTGATAATGACATATTATCAATCAATCAATCAATCTGAATTTAGGGGCTATTTTGCAGAGTCTAAAAATATATGTTGATTTCAATTAAATATAATTCTTTGTTATATGTAAATTTACATTGTTTATTGTATTATATCCTTTGAAACCGGCAGCAATAGCAAAAAGTATTTCCATAACATGGAAATGCTTTTTAAATTAAGATTATCATAAAGCATTCTCAACGATGTTTACTTATACATTTTATGTAAATGCTTGAGGAAATCTGTTTACTCGCTTTTATATCAATGGTCTTTGTATTGCTTGTGTTCTTTACTGATTTATTTCTCTGGAATTTGCAAGTCACAAGTAAAAAATATTGTTCGGCAGTGAACATAATGACATCTACGTTTAAAAAGAGGGTTTCAACTCGAACTGGAACGCCCGTCTGGTGAAGGAACCTGCACCTTAGGCATTGTCCTAATATAGGGCTGCCATCTCTAAAATGTTGCAACCAGGATAAGACGCGTGATAACCCCGGATTTTGGAGCCCAGAACCCGGACAGACCAATAAAAAACAGTTAAAATATCACAAATCAACTTTTTTATGTTGATCTAGGCAAAAGAGCTAGCGGTCTACCTGCAGCACCAAGGGCCATTTATGCGTTGCCGTAAATTTTTAAACCCGGACTACAAATAAAACCCCGCCCGGACGCCCCGTAAACTAGGACAAATCCGGGGAAACCCGGACGGATGGCAGCCCTAACCTAATACAACGCGATAACGCGATCATCGCGCGATTAAACGATGCGATCATCGCGTGATCGCGAACTGGGTGTCCTAATAGAACGCGAATACGGAACGGGGTAGCCCTGCCCCTCTCCCCGCTTCCTATCGACGCGACGCGATCATCGCGCGATGTTCAGTTAGGACACCTATTCATCATTAATAGGTTTGATTGCGCGTTCGCGTGAACTAAGTTCGCGCGAATAGATTTTTAAACATTTTAGTCGATCAAATGCATCGCACGATCGCCTATTAGGACACCTATTCTAGATCAATATGTTTGATCGTCGAATCGTACGATGATCGCATCGCTCATTCGCGTTATCGCGTTGTATTAGGACAATGCCTTATAGAAGACCACAGTAAATAACACTACCTTTTGGTGGTGTTGTGTTTCTGTCAATGAGTAAGGTTCCAGGACTCCATGGGGTAGGGGGATTGGGTTAGAGTAGGCAATGGTGTGATAGATAGTTTTGGTATCGCAAGCGTCTTTTGGCTATGGTAGACCTTTACTACAGGCGGGACAAATGCTTGTTTGCCATCCTTTTAACATAAAAAAAAACTCCTTTTTGTATGCTCCAAGATAAGTACTCACCATTCTATGCGCTTTGGGGACAATAAATTTAGAGGCCCGCAAGTATCTTAGAAGAAATGCGTCGTCCATCCTTACTGGTTGGCATTCCCCACGTTCTGGAAAGTATTGTTGGTGTTAGTGTCATTTTAATTAACTATTACGCTACGCTAGCACTGTTGGGTCAGCACCGCGCTGATGGCAAGGTTATTACAGTAGGTATGGTGATACCACCACGTGTGGTTGATTTCTTCAAAGAGTTGATTCAACAAGGAGCACACGCGTTGTCACTGGCAAGGAGAGGGGACATTCCGGAGTTTAAGTAGGTAAGGCTCCCTTCTATCCCAAGCAGCCTTCTGGGCTAGCTGAATAGGTTGTGGAGGTGTAGGGAGGAATCCCACATAATCACGTCGCCTTACGCAGTGGCGGGGTATGCATAACGCATTTTTCCCGGTCAAAAATAATATAATATAATATAATATAAAAATAATATAATATAGCTTTTGGCCCACTTTTTGCACACAGAGAAAAAATATTACAAAATTTTCATATCTATTTATTTATTATTATTATTATTCATGTTATTTGATAATAAAGTGCTTTATCGACTTAGTCTATGTGCCAAATCTTTTAAATAATAATAATATTTTTTCCATATTATTTGACAGATTTTAAGCCTCATGTAAAAAATCTATAACAATTAGACACGACAAAATGTATCAGGAGTATCTGCGTTTAAAAAATAATTTCGACATGTAACTCATGACACATTATATTAACAGTGCTTATTGAAACTTGGTCTTCTTTATCATAATAAAGATTTCCATTACACAGAAAAGAAAACAAATTACTATTATTATGAAATAGGAGGAACGAAATGAGAGTCTAAATTAAAATATTTCTGATGATAAATGCTGATATTTATTTTCCTTAAATTCAAATATAATGAAAACAGAAAGCGAATAAATAAGCATTTCTAATTGACTATCTCCTTTATATGTATATATCTATAAGTAGATTAGAAAGATTATATGAATTATTAAATTGGAAAGGAAGTTAACATGAAGTGGCTATTTTAATGGACACTACAGACTACTGATCAGTTTCTTATAAGAATGGTTCATACCATACACGATTTTGAATAGAAACATTGAAAAAGCAACTTTTATTTTTATAGCTTTTAATTTTAATTTTTATATGCCGTTAGCGACAATAGAAATCTAATATGCCGGAAAAAATCAACTATCTGTCCCATGAAAGATGGAGGACCGGACGTTAAGAGTATTATAGGATTCCGTTGAGATTTGTCAGAGTTTTCAAATATTTTTTCATCGAACCTGAGACTCCAGACATGGTGAGCTTGTATAATCAAGCTCTGTGCAAGCCACTCAACAAACTCCAACTTGTCTTTAAAAATGTCAAACAACTCTCTTACTGAGGATAGCCTTGTTAATAGTCGTAAGTCTAGCAGATTCTAGACACAATTCAATGAAACACTGATGTGCCTGAGCTTGAATACATTAAAATCTCGACACGGAGTGTTGGGACATTAGATTTGCGAAACGATTGCAGACAAGTAACTTGGAACACATAATAAAACAACGCATCAAAATTACAACGAAAAAAACAACGGTGACATAAGATGTACGAAATATATTTATAATGACTTGTTACAATACAACTAGTAACGTCGTTGGGAATATTCGAATATCCTAGCGATTTACTCATTGTATCAATTTTCTTAGGAATATTGCCGGATATACATAGCAACTTTTGGACTATACTCCTTAAATTTCCCAATATTCCCGGGAATGCGGGTACGTCTAAGCAAGAATATTGTAATTGTAGCATTTCAGTTAGGAGTTTTAAATTAGATTGCTTGACATCTATATAGAGGCACAATCTAAGCAGATCTTTTGGTCTTTGGGTACTAAATTATGTTGTTTTGTGCCTAAAACTAGATTCAGATAGCTGGTGCAGTTTTAAGTTAAGGTTTTAAGTTTTACGTCTTGCCAGTGAGCCTTATTGGCTTGCAAGCTTATTGTTAATGTCTCTTCGTAAATCTCATCTGGTACTTGGGATCAAGTAGGTTTTTTTAAGTTGTAGGATTTAATAACTTGTTTGTCGGCACATTCTATGTTTTTGTAGGTGCAATGTGCATTATATACAAAAAATGCTGTATAACTATGTAGATTCAAGGATTTAAATAAAAAAATTAAGAAATATTTTGTTTGAATGAGAGTGCTAACTAAATAATTTCGCCCAGCGCATAAGCCTCGCCATTCAGCGGGGAAATGCCGCCAGCGTCCTGGGAACCTTTGCCGACGGGGAAGACTTAGGGCAGCTATTTTTTTAATATTTTTAATTTTTGTCTAGTTTTAGTTAAATCTTTGCCATGTTGCTTTTGATTTGTTTCAAAGAATTATTAATAAAATAAAATTATCAAAAAATTTCTTACAAAGTTTTACAGAAGAGTTTCATAATAACCAGGACTCAAGTGGCTCAGTATTCATCAAGCTTCAATGAAGTTCTTCAATATATCTTTGATAATTACTGAATATATATCTCACCTAATTTTTCATTTTTAAAAGAAGTTTCATTGTTGAATATTTCAGGCACAGTTATTTATTAGATACGCTTCGTTAACCCACAGGGGTCACACCCGAAAGTTCGAAATGTTATTTCTCTGACGGTGGGTAATCCCATAGAAATAAATTGTTATTTTGGGCATACCCAAAGGTACAGTATCGAAGTACGGGACCGAAACGAATGATTGTTTACGAAACAGGCATTCGTCTCGGGTCTTGCTTCTTCAACTCATTGTCCGGTCACAACAATACCGTGAATGTTGACTTGGGTATTGAGTTGAGCCCTGTTGAGCCACTTAATTTAGAACTGAATATGACCGTACTATTTACCAACTATAAACTTTGTGATTGTAAACGCCTGTGGGGCAAATTCGACAGTTTTTATGCTAAATATTGAATTAAAGAGGAAAATCTCTCAGCTCGTTTTTGAAGCGATAGTTTCCTATGCGGTTGTTAAATAATTGGTTTGACAAAAAATGTAACCAAAACCATAGAACACAGAGAGAGGACCCTTTTCAGTTATGAAATGTAATTTTGTAAAATATTTTTTTTTGTTAATCATACCATATGCTTATGATTCGATATTTTTCTTTTAAATGCTCAGATTATATAAAAAGTATGTTACTTTTTTAAACCGACTTCATTATTAGATTGATTTTAAATTCATGTACCTATCTATTATTTGGAGAAGCCCTCAGAACAATTCGTTCGAGTTTGTAGATACAAATTAATTGAGTACGAGCAAAATATATTTGGTAATTCAACAACCGCAACAGTTGCCTACATAGTATATGTCATCGAAAGCAACTCCTCAAAGGCTGCGTCCCTAGTAGCGCGGTCCTCGTTGCATTGCTCGCACGCCAGCTGCTCGAGCTCGGGGACTTCCTCAGTGTTCAGCTCCACCTCGAACGCATGAGATGGTAATTAAACAATCGCAACAGTTGCCTTCATAGTATATATCACCGAAAGCAACTCCACAAAGGCTGCGTCCCTGGTAGCGCGGTCCTCGTTGCATTGCTCGTACACCAGCTGATCGAGCTCGGGGACTTCCTCAGTGTTCAGCGCCGCTTCGAATGTAATAGATGGTAATAAACAATCGCAACAGTTGCCTACATAACGTATATCATCGAACGCAACTCCGCAACGGCTGCGTCCCTAGTAGCGCGGTCCGCGTTGCATTACTCGCACGCTAGCTGCTCGAGCTCGGGGACTTCTTCAGTGCTCAGCTCCGCCTCGAAAGCAATAGATGGTAATAAACTCAACGTGACAGGTGTCTACATACCGTATATCATCGAACGCAATTCCGCAACGACTGCGTCCCTGGTAGCGCGGTCCTCGTTGCATTGCTCGCACGCCAGCTGCTCGAGCTCAGGGTCTTCCTCAGTGTTCAGCTCCGCCTCGAAAGCGATCTCGAGGAACCTCTCGAACATTATGGTGCCTTGATACTACTGCCCCTGAATTCATACGAAAAATATAAAATAATATTAAATTCTATTTTCTCAAAGCATGTATTGATCATCAACACCCAGATCTTATAATAATACATTTTTTAATTGTTTGTAAATATGGTATACAAGGTGTTATAATAAAAAAAAATGGGTGCGTGTACTTATGTAGGCGCGTGAGAAGTTATCCTTCTTTGGCATCGTTTAAAATTAGTTTTTAATTGCATGCAAATAATTGATTACAATAAATTAATAAAAAGTCTGGAAAAGGACACAGTCAATAAAGTTCAGTTTTAATTTGAAAAAATAAATAAATAATCAAAATATTCAATTAAAATCGCTACTGAATATAATTTATTAGAACATATGTGATTTGCACTTGTATGAAACTCAAACACGTATTCCGAATATACAAACTAGAAACATGTGGATAAATATTATAAATATGAATACCTATAACTGTTACTTTATTACAAAAAATAAAGATGTGGTTTTTGGTTCTACTACACCAATGGTCAAGAGATGGCGCTGTAGTCTCCTGAATCACGCTTTGGTTCCGTTGTTCCAAATTAATAAATACTTTTGATATTATAAATATGAATACCTATAACTGTTACTTTATTACAAAAAATAAAGATGTGGTTTTGGTTCTACTACACCAATGGTCAAGAGATGGCGCTGTAGTCTCCTGAATCGCGCTTTGGTTCCGTTGTTCCAGATTAATAAATACTTTTGATAGGCCTTCACAATGCAGACGTTAGCACCCACTAAATAGAGATTTCAGAAAAAAAAACACTTTTGATATTATAAATATGAATACCTATAACTGTTACTTTATTACAAAAAATTAAGATGTGGTTTTTGGTTCTACTACACCAATGGTCAAGAGATGGCGCTGTAGTCTCCTGAATCGCGCTTTGGTTCCGTTGTTCCAGATTAATAAATACTTTTGATAGGCCTTCACAATGCAGTCGTTAGCACCCACTAAATAGAGATTCTATTTCTATTTTGTTGGTAGATTTTCATAATGTGCGGTAAACACAAAAGTAACGCATGAAGTAGGTCGCTAAAGCGACCAACTTCATGCTGTTAAAATTTTGTGTTACAGTGATGCGCGCGCATCTTAAAATTTCACTCTCATAATTTTTTCATAACGCGCCTAAAGAAGTATAACTTCAACAATACGTTTAGCTAAAATTCGTTACCATGTAAAAGTTATAACTTCCGCCTATCTTAAAAATAACTTAATAAAGTTTTTGTAGACAATATAGTTTTCTATTTGAAATCATTAGGGATCATCGATTAAGATTCGCGGCGACCGGGATCTTAAAATGTATATATGTAATATATATAAAAAAATATGATAATAATTGAAGAGGAAACAAAACAATAATTCACCCGCAACAAGATTTTGGCTATTTTCTCTTTTCTAATTTGAAGTTTCATGCTAATTTCTATGCCTCACTAAAACATCTTAGGTCCCACTGTATTGTGCACTGCAATTTCAGGAAGAATATTTCCTAAAGTCCTATTTAGTTTTCGTCTTCCATGACCATAAGGCAGTTAAAAAAAACGTGATTTAAGCAAATGAGTGAACTTACTGTATATTATAGTTAAGTGTTTTCTTTCAAACGTTATAATTTTTTTTAACTATTATTTCTGTAATTTACTTAACAAATCGATCCAATAACTAACAATCTTTCAAAAGGCAGATAGGTAAATCTAAAAAATTTTAGACTTCGTTTGTAACCATATTTAAAATGTAAGTGTATGACATTTTATTCTATTAAACTCGTGTGTAAGCTCCGCAAACTTTTTGTGGTAAGCCTTTTAGAACTTAAAACATCTAACCATTAAGTACTTTCATCTGTACAAAAGCTTAGTCTACGTGTCTAGTTGAAGGTTAATTATAAAAGATCTCAGTTTGGCAATTGACTGCGACCTCTCTCACGCGAAAGGACCATTACGCTTTTAAAGTGCATTTATCTTGCTTCTGCTTAACCATAAATTATAATGTATAATGTTATTTTGAATACTAATTACTAAGTTCTTAAAGTAACTGTGGGGTTTATTGCCGACATCATTAGCATTTCAAAGTTTCTATTTCTAGAGCACATTTTTTATGTTAAAATCTTGAATTAAAACAAAAAGGCAAGATACGGCACTCGCGGCTTAAAAGTGATCCGCTTAAATTGTGGTGCATGACCATAATTCACTTTAGTCACAATTGGACATTCAAACATGCTGCATGTGCACTCAATATAACAATATTGCGTATATTCTGTGTTATGAAGATAAAACAATGCCTTCGATGCTTTTATAAAGAACACAAATAGTTCAAAATCAAATAACAAATGCCTCGGCAACACTTTTCATTCGTAAAACTGTAAAAACATTTTTTCTCCATAATCACGGTTTGTCGTGAATGTTATATAACGTAATCGCCATTTTTTATCAATATAGTTCTGTCTCGCTCGCTCGATTGAATGTTTATATACAGACATGTGCGTGTGTGACTTGCTTATGTAGTTGAGTCGGATCATATTTTATTTGATGCTAGTATGAGCGTACCGTATATACCCCTTTTGTTTTAATCTATGGTTAAAATGGTGGAAAACAAGTGTATAGCCGCCTGATGGTATACGGCCACCATAGCCTATAGACATTTACGATACCAAAAATATCACTCACACCATTGCCTACCCTGAACCAATCCCTTACCCGAGGAGCCTTGGAACCTTACTAATCGACAGAAACACAACACCACCAAAAGGTAGTATTATTTACATACCATCTCTATGGACGAAATCACATAAGTTTATAGAACAGTACCCTTAGTACGAGTTTTACAATTTTGCGAAAACTATGATAGTTTTCGTGAGCTCAAACTCGTACTAAGGGACAGACTATACCCAACGATATTATTTACTATAACCATACTACAATATTTAATTTTTCTGTTATAGATTAAATCTTTGCAATTAGAAAGCATACACTGACTGCGCTGTAATATCATTATATTTTTATTAATCTAGATATAAATAAGGTACTTCTGTTTATTTAGGTATAATGCAAATGTATCAATTTATTATCAAAATCGATTGATAATAATGATTTGTGTATCGTCACTTCAAAGTTCACAACGTTGTTTACGAACATGATACATGATAACAAAACGGCCTTGTTCTAAATATGTAATGCACAATTTTCACATAATACACTTATTAATTTTATGTTTACCAATAGAATTAAATTAAATTTACATTCTATTTTTTCGCTTATCTCATAATTTATTCAACATTCTAAAATGAAGTGAACGTTTCGGTAATACCTACCGATTAGTTTGGAATTGGATGTCCATTTAAAAGCTAAAAGTATTCGATGGCTCAGTTAATATAGCGGATTGTAGGTAACTGAGAATTAAACCCTGTTTCTTTGAAATTGAATGAATAAACATGCAAAAATCACGAAATCCAACAAGCGCGAGTCGAAAGCAAGAGCTTCTTTTCAGAGTACGATAAAAATATTCTTTAATTCGCTTTATATTGTTCCCGTAATAGAGGGCAAGCGCTCGTCCCCTTTTAAGGAACTGTCAAAGAGACTCAACGAGGTGACTGGTGATCAAAACAAGGCTGGCAGCCATCTTGGTCAACGGATCAGCCTTGCCATCGAACGTGGCAATGCGGCAAGCCCATTGGGCACCATTCCTGACATATTTTTTACACGTTGGCAATAGAACGAGCAGCTCTGTTTACGTCTTCAGAGTGATCTTTTAGTTTTCTCTGATGCGGCTGAGCGTGCTCGCCTCCTAGCAGTATTTCAGGCAGAGTCTGGTTATTGGCTGCAAGCTCTTCCTTCAGCCAATATCGGGACTGCTTGACAGGAGCACTCTGTCACTTGCTATTTCACTTAAACTTGGTGTTAAGACCTATCATCCCCATCGCTGTCGTTGCGGAACTCGCATCGGTGAGTTGGGACACCATAGTCTCTGATGCCCAATGAGCGCTGTCAATGACGTCATCCGTAGAGCTCTTGTCGCAGTCAATGTGCCAGCGGTCCTAGAGCATAGCGGCATCTTCCGAGACGATGGCAAGACACCTGACGGAATGACGCTCATTCCTTGGAAGCAGGGTCGTCCTCTTGCATTGGACGCAACTTGCGTGATACGCTTGTTCTGTGCCATACAGGTAGTACTTCCCTAGCTGCAGGCGCGGCGGCGGCATCTGCCGAGTGCTCCAAGCGGCGCAAATATTGAGCTCTCAATGAGAACTACAATTTGTGCCGTTTGATGTTGAGACTATGGCACCATGGGGTCCGAACGCTCGTTCCTTCTTCAAGTCTTCGAATTGTTTATGAGTCTCATCGAGGTGACCAGTGATCAAAAAGCTGGCAGCTACGTTGGTCAACGAATTAGCCTTGCTATCAAACATGGAAATGCTGCCAGCTTATTGGGCACTATTCCTGACGGCGGCGCTGGGGATGATAAATTATTTATTTTGTAAATTGTATATTATTTATGTACTTCTTTATTTCTGATTTAAGGTTGTAAGCTTTTGTAAATTAAATATTTCTACGAAAATAATATATTATTTGAATAAGCATTAAGGTAGTTTGGGTTTTAAAACTAACACATTAAGTAGTTTTGAAGCTTCTGTTATTTAAATTTTCTATTATTTAATCAATATTTTTCTTTATCTGAAAGTAAGTTTGAAAGAATGTAGTTTATGATCATTTGTAGGAAGATTGCTATTTATTTATAGAATCTTAAATATTGACCATTCTCAGGATTTTGTTCTTTTTAAAATCGTAATACATTACATAAGTAGGTAATTTGTCTGGCGCCATAACAAACAAAAAATAACTAAACCAGCCATTATGACTTTACCAATTCCTAATGTCACTAAAAGTGAAAGTTGCCGGAGGAGTAGTAAGAATACGTAACGAAATGATTTAATATATTTTTTGCCTGGAAATGTAAACCCGTTAAAAGTGTTTTCATGTTTCCCCTA